GGCATATGTTGAATTCCCATCCCACAAGCTTGCGGGAAGCTGCTCTCCCAACAGACACTTCTGGCCCTCTCCTTGTGCAGTAACAGTGGCCTCAGCCAAGTGACAGGCACAGGCAGAGCTTTGGGCTCAGGTCACCCACGGGAGGGCCACAGCACCCTGCCTTGGGCACTGGGATCATCACCCCTCACAGACCCTGGGAACACCTGGGCTGCACCATGGCTGCACCTGTGACAACAGGCTCCAGGCACCCACACACTCCACAGAAAAGGCTTCTTTGGAAATCGTGGGTGCTGAGTACCCCCACCACTGCCATGGCTTTGTGTTTGGTGGTGGATGAGTGGCTTTTCTGACTCCAGAGGCTGTGCTGTCCACAGCTGCTGCCCTGTGGTGTGACAGAGGCAGCCAGGGCTGCAGACACTGCTCTGCATGGGGATCCTCAGGCAGGACGAGCTGCAGCGCTGCAAACACTCATAGAGCCTGCCAGAGTTTGGACAAATATCATAGCTTTAATTAGAACAGAAAACACCATTCATGCTAATAAATATTTTAAACATACCAGTATAAGGGCATGAATAGGCTTAATGAGCCTGTAATTACTGAGCTTAAACAGCAGCTGCTCCTCAGCAAAGCTTCGGGAATGGGAGATCCTTGGGCATTGTTGAGGGATCTCGGCCTCCCCCTGTGTCCCATGGCCATGCAGTGAACCACACCTGAGACTTGGCCACTCGGGAGAATGTAAAACCCATGTAAAACCTCAAGCTGATGCCTGTGGTGGGGGCAGGCACCCTGGGGGGGCCCGAGAGGAGCTCGGCCACCCCACCCAGCACCACCTCCAGCCCCTCCTGCCCCTTCCCACTGGGATGAGGTGACGCCTGGGCTACTGCAATATCTCTGGCAGCACTGCCTGCCCTGCCAGACAGAACCTCCCAGCCCCCCTGGCCCTGCAGCATCAGCCCCCACAGTCAGGCGGGCAGGAGGCCCGCAGCAATGCGGAGGGGAATCAAAACTCACCAAACGTCACCGTGTCTGGCTCCAAAATTTATTGAACTACAAACACACATCACTCAAGAGCACCAGGTCTGGAGGAATGTGAGGGACCAACCCCCTTCCATTAAAAGGGGGCAGGAGCTTCAGCTTCTGCTTGATTTGAACACAGACAACACCCCAAACCCAATAGAAACAATGCTACAGCAGAATTACAACGATAATGGCACAGAATTTACAAAAATATAAATAACCTATTCGTAACCTTAAAGAAAAATAACATCTACCATAAAAAACAACATGTAGTCCCTTGGGTAAACCATGGCTACAGAAATGTAGTGATTTTTTTTTTAAAAGCACCAGAGTCTGAAGTACTAAATAATCCAACACAGAGGAGGTACCTTCCCCCAACACTTGCAGACTCTTCCAAGAAGTGTGCCCATATCAGTAACACTAAGTTTTCTTCAGTATTGCCTATTTCTGTAAAAGCACATTGGAGGGACAGCTCTCACAAGCCCCCTGTTCAGGAACAGCACCCGAGGGATGTTCACCAATTGTTCACCAGAATAAACACTTTAACAACAGTGAAGTATGTGCCTATTTTAAGTCTATGCTTAAGAGCTTCCCAGAACAGAGCTGGATTTAAACTTATCATACAAATTCCTCTGCAAATCAGACTTCCAGGCAAGACTGGTGTGGAAACCAATCACTTGTTTAAAAAAAAACCCACTGCACTGGAGTGTTTCCACTGTTCAGTCCTAGCTCAAGTTGGCACAGATTTCAGAGTTATTTCATTTCTTTCACCTCTCTGTGAGCCATGCCAGCTTGGCACAAATGGCTTCCTGAGGCTGTGACATGAGATCCAGCACTACAGGAATTTCCCTACCTTACATTCTACGTACTATGTTGAAAATACTATTAAAAAGCAAAAGTCAAGTATCAAGTCCATTGGTTCCCCAGTGAAGCAGTTCCCTGCTCAGGGATCACTGTTGTTCTGATGTCTGAGTCACAGCATTATCCCTGTTTTTGAGGCTCTCGTGGTTCCCTGAGGGCTCTGGCTGGGCTCGAGGCAGCCTGGCCAAGGGGTCTTAGGGTGGGCTAAAGGCTCCCTGTTGAACTTTTGGCCATGTAAACACAGCTGGTTTTGTCAGCACAGCGGAAGGAAGGTGCCTGCCATGAGCACAGCAAGTGGGGAGCAGCCTTTGGCTGGGAGCTAGGGGAGCCTCACTGCTGAAAAGCCACGTCCTGCAATGCTCCTGTGCAGTGCCCAGCCCTGCTGGAGCACCAGCCAATATAACCTGCATGGACACCACGTGTGGGGCTCTGAGGGGGAGCCCAGAACAGGCCAAACACCATAAAACAGTCCCTGCCAGCCCGTGCTGGGCAGCACAGCCTGCCCTGAGGGGCAGCAGCAGAGGGACAGGAGCTGTGGCATGGCACACACCACCCTGCACACCCTGCATGGCATGGCCCGGACCCACACCCCACACAGCACACACCCAATGCGCTGCACCCTCAAGGCACGGGGTGAGTTCTGACCATAAGTAATATTGCTCAGGCATCAAACAATTGAAAAATAAGTTTATCTTAAAAACTATCAAGAAAACGAGGTTGATTTCTTTATAAAAGTGATAAAAAACCCCAAACAAATGGACTAAAGCCTCACTTCATTTGCCTGTCCCAGAGCTCCCCTGGCACACTATGGACTCGCCCAGCATGTGAAGAGATTTGCAGCACACGCCTGTGCCCTGTCCCCATCATCCACAGCTCTCATTTAACAGCCCTTCCTGCCCATCTCTTGCTCCTGACACTGCCATGTGACAGGGGTGGGCTGGCTCTGCCATCCTGCCACTGCTCTGTGCACTCCAGTGACCACACGCTGGTGGCACTGGTGACACAGGAACACACAGGGCAAGCTGCCCAGTCCAGCTCCAACCTCAAAGCCAGGGACAGCAAGCTAAGCTGTAGGGAGGCTCTTACTCAGAGGCAGTGGGTGAAGTTATTTTCCTTCCCACTGGAAGTGACTATGTCCACAGAGGGATTAAATATTTATTGGATTTTGTGAGGTGATTAAACCCAGCACTCTCCCTGCCACAGAAAAGCCTCAAACAGGAAATCCCTGGCCCCAGGCTGTGTGTGCTATAGCAACACTCCCTAACAGGCCAAGAGTGCAGCAAGAGTCTGACTAATCCTGGCCCCATGATGGCTCAAAGTTCAACGCTGTAGGTCTTGGAGAGCAAAGAGCAATAAAACGACCTTGACTGTGGAAGAAACAAGCAGTGAGGGAAAGTGCCGGTCCAGCTCAAACTGCCCATGCCTTTGCTTATCTGAGCACATCCTGGGTGTGTTCAAGCCCCAACATCTTTAAACAAGGAAAGAAAACACCAGCAGCTATTATTCCCGGAGGTGTGGGGGAAGTCTGCCTTCCTAGAAGGGCATCTGCTTCTTTGAGGTCCTGTGGTCAGATGAAGAATTCTTTGGACTCAGCCGAGGGGCCTGGGTGGGGCCAGCAGGCAGTGGGGTAACAGTGCCACTTGCTGGTGACCACCACACCGCCGGCTTGGGCTGAGACCCCGGTGACAGGCAGGACAGCAGAGAGCAGAGCCAGCTGCGGCAGCGAGGGACAAAGCCAGCACCACCAGCTCAGCCCCAGTGATGCTGTCTGCGAGTCTCGGGACAGCCAGGGTGACACCACATCACAGAGCATCCTGACTTGGAAGGGACTACAAAGATCACAGGGACTAACTCTTCAGTGACTGGCCCGCAGAGGGGTCGAAGCTGCAGCCCCAGCAGTAACAGCACCATGTTCAGCCACCGCCACAGCCCCTCTGCCCCTGACCCGTGTGCCTGCCCGCCCCCACGCTGCTGTGCCCCACTCAGGAACGTGCTCCTGCAGCCCCACTCCTGTCCAGGGACACCAGCAGAGCCCCAGTGGCCAGGGCACAGAGAACAGCCCAGCTGCCTGCAGCCCCCAGGCTCAGGCACAACACAAATTGGGGCGACTAGTGACAGCAAGACCATGGCAAGTTATGACAAATCCCCCGGGATGAAATACCAAACAGAAGGGTGCTTCCCACTTCCCAATAGCAACTCCCAGGAATGAGAAATCGGGCCATTTTTAGGCAGAAAAAAAAAAGAAAACTATTATTTTAAAAGAGGAGGAGCTCCTGCTGTGGCTGGCACAGGAATGTCACTGCTGCCTGTGACCACAGCCACAGCTTCAGCCCTCAACTACCACCCGCGTGCAGTAGGGACACTCTGTGCCACCACAGGCAGTTTGTGAAGCCTTGGAGGTGATGGGCAGTGAACAGCCACGGGCTGGGGTGAGCCAGCACTTGCCCATGGCCAACAGCCACAGCCCAATGAGGGCTTAAGTCAGCTCACCCCAGGAGTCAGTCTGAAACTCACGCCAGGATGCTACACTGCACCACAAATGGGCACGAGACAAGGGTGGCACAGAGGTATAAAGGCTGGAGCCCAGCACATCAGCCATGGCCAGGTCCTCTGCCATGGAAATCACAGCACAGAGGGAGAGAGGCAACTGAAAAGTAAACTGAGAAAGTGGCAACTGGCACCCGGGAAAGCAGAGCATGGGCCAGAGGAAGGACGGGAAAGCTGGAATGGAAGGGAGGAGATGGCTGGGCTCATAGGAGGGCACTGAGCCCCATGGCTGAGGAACCCCATGACAACAGTGGGGCAGGACAGGGCTCACTGCAGAGCCAGGGCACCACAGCACAGGCAGCACAGCAACTGACAGGGATGGGTGTCACAGCTAGAGAAAAAACCAGCCTCTGGAGGGGCCTGAGCAAGCCCTCCCCCACGGAGCAGGGAAAAGGCACAGCTGTGCTTCCTGAACCCCCGTGCAGAGACGCCCCTGTCATGTCCATTCCATGATGCAAAGACCACCTCTGTGTGCTCCTGCCACGCACACCAGGGAGGCTGTGTGACTGCAGGCCACTGGCTGCTCTGTCCCGGGAGTAAGGGCGCGTGGAGCTTCCTGCGTGCCTCCGCGTGCCCTAGCGCTGGCGGTCCGGCGCGGGGCTGAGCGTGAAGTGGTCGCAGAGCAGGAGCAAGGCGTCGAAGCGCTGGAGCCGCTGCAGCGCCTGCGCCAGCAGCGGCACGGTGACCGCGCCTCCCGCGTAGGTGAAGTGTGCCACCAGCTGCTCAAACCCCGAAATCCGTCCCAGCAGCTGGGGCATGAGCCCCAGCTCCAGGGCCACGTGGCTGAAGTTCTTCACACCGTTCAAGGAAGGGTCCAGCAAGAAGGCAAGAGACTGCACCAAGGAATGGGGCAGCTCTGCTATCGGGAGACCTGGGGGCAGCAACACAGCAGAGTTAGTGTCCATTGTAGCCAAACGGGAAAAGGGCAAAGAGAACAGCCAGCCTCCAGCCTCAGGCCCTGCTGAACAGGTGAAAGGCCACTCTGCCAGGGCAGGTATCTCCTCCAACATCACTTTTAGAGCTCAGCAACATGGAGCTGACTCAGTCCTGGGGAAGCTGGTAACTGGTGACCTGCCCACAGGCTACTCAAGGCAGCATCAAAGAAAATACACCAAAGGCCACGAGTCAGATAAGTCCCTGGTGGGGACATGGTGGGCTTCTGGGGGAGCTCCCTTCCAAGAACCTGCCTCTGATATGCCCGTACTTGGAGTCCAAAGGTGAGACTGGAAGGCCACTTACCACTAGCCGTGCTGCTGATCTGAGTCACCAGGCTCTGGGCATCATCCACCTGGTGAGACAAAGACCCCAAGGTTGGTGGCAGTCTGCTGAGAACAGCAATGCCTGGCTCTGCTCCCAGGGCCTTCACAGGGGCTCAGGGAATGACTCTTCCTCCCCAGCCTTACCACCCCATATTAACATAGCTCAGTCCATGTTCCTACCCCTGTGGCGAGCCCAGCCTCTGTGCCTGAGCCTTGGGCAGCTGGCAGTAGTTCTAAGGAGTGGTAAGGCAGAGGAACTTACCGGCTGCTCCCCTGGTGGGATTTCAGCCGTGGGCAAGTGATGAGCCCCCTCCTGCACCCCACCACTGCTCTCTGCTGGGATCCTCTTCACAGCCCGGCTTGCTGCGTCCTCCAGCCGCTCACCACCCACATATTCCACCTGGGTGGAGAACTTTTGGAGGTCCAGCTCAGTGCACTCCACGGGTGCATGCGGCCACTTGTGCTGCATCTCGGAGGCACAGGAGGAGAGGGGGGCCAGGGCCTCCACCGTGCCCGGCCGGCCCTGCCTGGGGGTGGGGGGTGGCAGGACCCCGTCCAGGCAGTCACCATGGCCCGAGGCCCGGATGAGGGGCTGGCTTTCCAGGAGGCTCCTGCCCAGCTGGGCCTTGGAGGCAGTGCTGGCTGCCATGGCTGGTGGCAAGTCCATCTCTGGCTGGAGAGAGGGGAGCTGGAGACCCACGGCTTCCCCGTCGGAAATGAACTGCACCGCTTCCACGGGGCCTAGAACCAGAAACCAGCACACATCAGTGAAGCTCACCCTCCAGCTCCATCCTTCCATCTCTCATCCTGCCTCCATGTGAGCTGGAGCCCAGCACCACCCTCCCTTCCCCAGGGAAGGCAGCAAGAGCAGGTACCTTCTGCCTGCCTGTAGCAAGGGCTCAAATTCTTCACACCCAGGCAGCAGGGTCCAGACATCTGCTCCTCACACAGGAACCTGCCAGGTGCTGCTGCAGTGGGGAACGTTGCTCGCTGGCCTGAGAAGTTCTGAGTCCTCAGGAAGACTTGGAGGATAGAAAAGGAACAGCCTGAGCAAAGGTTTGGCTCAGTTCCCTAGCATGTCCTCAGCCCTGTGGTATGTCTGCCAGCGAGGAGCTGGGAGCCCAGCAGCTCCCTGGCATGCTGCTGGATGCCGTCCTCCCCCAACCCTGGCCACCACTCCTACAGCCCTCTTCATTCTGCAGCAAAGAGCCACTCAACCAGAAAAACCTCAGAAGGGAGGATTGCCAGTTCCGACTGTGAAATGGCTTCCTCCTCCTCCTCCTCATGGCCCTAAGGAGGAGGGAGGCTCCTCCGTGTCACTGAGCAGGTAAAGCACACAAGAGGTCCTGCAGGCATGAGAAGCAGGATGAGGTGTCTATTCTGAGCTGAGGAACAGCTGGGTCACTGTGCTGTGAATTCAGCAGTGTTCTACACAGCAAGAATAGCCCACAGGCACAGGTGAGTGGCACAGCAGGGAGGAGAGCACCAACTCACCTCTCTGGCACTGGCTTTTCCAGAATCGCTTGCAGTAGATGATGGAAAGTGCCAGAAGCACCAGGACGATGATGACCAGGGCACTGCTGGTCAGTGCAAGGAGGGCTGTGTCCTGTGGTGGTACAGTAGGGACAGCGACTCTCACCAGGTTTGTTCTGGACCGACCTGCAAACATCATCCACAAAGCGCTGGAGCCAATCTCCAAGGCTTGGACCACCCCTTCCCTGCCCATCCCTCGTCACATGCCATGACCGTGCCTCCTCCAGCAGGGCTGTGACTCCCCTGTGCCCACATCACCTGTCCCAACCCCAGCAGTGTGGGGACACCTACACTGTGGCTCGGAGGATGGTGTCTGCTTGGTGCAGGGGATGCACTCCCACTCCAGCTGCCCGCTGAGCCGTGCCTTCCGGTAGAACCTGCCAACAGAGCACACAGGCTCAGCACTGCCAGCAGAGCACACAGGCTCAGCACTGCCTGGCCCCACCAGCTCCCAGCTGTGCAGCCAGCTGTGCCACCCACCCCGCAGCAGAGGGGCACAGCTGACCCTGCACTCCTGCCTGGCTGGCAACAGGAGCAACAGGCTGGAGCCACACCACACCTACTTGTTCATGTCTAGACATTTGTTAAGAAGCAACATCTCTCCAACAGCCCCCCCTCCCCTCCGCCCCCGCATCTGCTGAAGTGAATTTTAATGGTTAATAGCTCCCTACAGGGCTGGGAACACCCCAGCTACAGCTCAGTCTGAGAAGAGACTCATACACTGGAGCCCACTGCTGGCTAGTGGTGTCTGCAGCACCTGGGCTTGGCACGGGCTCTCTGTACGCAGCCATTTCATTTCAGTAAACCCTTAAACCCCTCTTTGGGGACTACTAACCATAGTGGTCTACAACACTTCATCTTCCAGGGCTCAGCCACCCTGGTGTCTACAGAACAGCGAGTCTGGAAGTTTTCTTTCACAGCTCGTGTACGTGAGCCTTCACGTTTCCTCCTCTGGAGCTACAACAGGACCCACCAGATGGGTCTGACTATGTCATCAGCAGTGTCCTCGCAGAGACATCCCTGGGTCACCGGGCTCCTCTTAGGTCCCGCGTGGGACCATGGGTGGCCTCAGGTAAAGGCTCCTGCGCCCAGCCCCTCCCTGCCTGCCCCCAGGCGTGGCTGTGCTCCCGCTCACCCCGGCAGGCACTCCCCGCAGACGGCGTCGGCCGTGGCGGTGCAGTTGGACTTCTGCAGGCGGTTGATGAGGGCGCAGGACAGGCAGGGCTTGCAGCCGTGATGTCCCCAGCGGTCCTTGAACTTCCTGGGAGGGCAGGCCACGCACTGCGCGTCCCCGCCGCTGCCGTCGCCGCAGTCCTGCAAGGCACCAGGGTGTGGTGAGGGGCCGCCGCGGGTTCCACGTGGCACTGAGGGAAACGGCGTCCCTTCTTTGGGGGCAAAGGGCCACCGTGCATGGGGGGGTGCTCAGAACCCAGCTGAGAGCAGCCACCAGCAGTGCAGCTCCCAGGAGACACTCAGTGACCCCGTCTGCTGCCCAGCTGGGCTCCCTGGGTGTTGGGAGCTGCAGCAGCACCACGGCCCAGGAGGCAGCACCAGGGGAACCCTGCTGCCTCCCACCACTGAGGCCAGGCTGGGACCCCCTGCAGCAGGGTCCTGCTGGCACCCATCCATGTGCAGCCCAGCCATGCAGTGAGACCTTGCTCGGGGCTACAGAGCAGAGGAAATTTAGACTCCCACCAGCAAAAAAGGAAATTAAGTTGCTCCTTGTGCTGCCTTAAATCCCTCACCACCTCCTGCTTCCACTGTCTCACCCTGCTACCAGGGTAAATAAAACAATCCACCATCCCATTCTACCAAGCCTCAGCTCTTCCCAACATGCTGGGACCTAAGATCATCTTTCTGAAGAGAGGCTGGCAGAGGATTAACCCAGCTGTGCCACCCATGACAATTTCTGCTCCTTACAGAGAAGTCAATTTACCTTGGAAAGCTCCTGCCCGGGCATGCACTTTCTGCAGGGGACACATTTCTTCTGGTCATCCAGGTACTCACTCTCTTGGCAGGCCATTGTGCTGAAGAGGAGAGGGGAGCTTGGGGACGAGAGGAAGAGAAGGCAGAGTGATCAAAGCCAGCCCTAACACATTTGGGATGAGCAGAGTGCCCATCTCTGGGCCATCTCCACCTGGCCAGGACAGCAGCCAACACTGCTGAGCACTGTAGGTGGGACTTGGGCAGGAGGTTAGTTCCTGGCTCCTTCCACATGGCTCCATCAGTCCCAGGCTTCCCAGCAAGGCTGGTGATGAGCTGCCACATTCTGTTGTCATCTCACAGCCTCACAATGCAGCAAATGAAATTTTAGTCACAGTATTGAAGTACTGACCACTAACTGCTCAGGTCACCAGTGGATTCTTCCAGCCCCAGCCATGGCTCTGGGTACCAGAGACAATCAGTAGAGAGCTTGGTCCCAGCAAAGGCTCAACAAAGCCCCAGAAAAGGCTCAGCAAAGCCCCAGATTCAGGATTCAGCAGCCCAGCTCTGGCTAGTGAGGCCAGTGTAACAGCACCAAATGCTGGTGGCTGATGTGTCCCTGGCAGAACAGGACACACGGCCCCACACACACTCTACACCCCCAACAGAAAGGGACACACACCCACACACCTGTGGTCTGCTGTGTGCCAGCAGAACAAGTTCCCACCTTCCTCTGAAATGCCCTCCAGAACCTTCCTGAAGTGCATTAATGGCTCAGCAGAAGGTGACAACAGAACCAGCCAGGAGCCACAGGGCCACACTGTCAGTAAGGGTGGCTCAAAGGGCAGCACAGGACCAGCATCTCAATCAGAGCAAGCAATTCAGACTGAAGCTACAAAACTGAGCAATTTATTTGAAGTTTTGGGGCTGCCTGATTATTTCTGCAGACTCTAGATAGGCTCTTCCCATGATGACAGGGAATAAAATCCACTTTCACTAGTCCAATCTCCACTTTGCCCTTCCTATTACCTTGTGCAGAAAATCAGGAGAGAAACCATTCAACCTGCCTTGGGAACAATTTCTCAACACCCATGAGGAATAGTGAACACCTTTTGGAGGAAACAGCCTGAACTGCCTAGGAGAACCAGAGCTGTCCCCTGGGAGGGAAGCTTGGCCAGATGTCTGGCCCTGCAAGGCTCTTGCAGCAGGGGCGGGGGGGGGGGGTGTCATCTACAGAGCCCCCAACATGTCTTGTACAACTCCTTCCCCTCCCACAGCAGCATTCCTCTGCAGGCTTTTTCTGCCTCCTCTGCCTAATCCCACCACTCCCTGCCAGTGCCTTTTGGAAGAGGACACTTGGCTGGGCTCGGGATTCATGGGGGATGAGGTCTGCCCAGGGAGCACAGCGCATGAGTCACCCTCCCAGCAGCTCCTGCTCATGGCTGATACAGGATCAGCAGCCAAGCCCGTGGGGACAGGACTAAATCTGTCTTGCAAGCACCTCGGGAGGGGCACGGGCACAGCTTAGACCTAGCATGAAGGTTCCTGACACCAGCGAATAAAAGATTTGGCACCATCTCAGAAGGTGGTGATGCCAGTGTCTCTGTCCCAGGAGATGCACGGGGTTTGGCGTCAGGCTTCAGCTACAGGTTGAGTACAAGAGGGAAAATAAAAAGCACAGAGCCAGGTCCCAGATGAATGAAACACAACTCCTTTGGGGTGCTGGCACACCGGGCAGGTGTCACCCAACTGCTTCAGAAGGGCCAGCAGGCCAGGGGCCTGGGGTTTGGTTCAGGCTTTTGCCCCTAATAACAGCACGAGATGAATGAAACAGAATTGCAGGCAACAGGAAAGGAACACAGATACCAGAGTATGGAAATGGCTGATTTTTACCTGCTCTTCAAAGTGCTGTAATGCAAGGAAAAAAGCACAGGTGAAAAAAACCTCAACAAAACCAAAAACCCCAAACCAGCAGAGTTTTTGGTAAAACTGTCCTGTGAATGCAACTTTGCCACTTTTTCTCATATATTTACAGAATTTCCCAGCCTTTCCAAGGGCCTGCAGCTGAGACAATGCCCTCAAAGCCCCCACCCCATAAGAACCCGGTTTAAAGCAGTTTGCCAAATACAGAAAGTTACACAGGCCAAAGGAATCCTGTGTCAGAACTGCTCCAAGCACAAGGACGTCTGCCAGGATGATGGAATCACTCAAGATGGGGAGACAGCCATACCCAACGTGCCAGCAGGATACTGGGCACAGGGCAGGTCTGCTGCTGCTCAAGTGTAACAATATAGGGGACCAACATTCGGTTGAATATCAGGCATGAAATTCAAAGCTGGGGGATCTTTGTACTTCTTATTTCAACACCACCAGACCCAAGAATTTTGATTTGTACATGGAGGACACATCTAGACCACCTGGCACTACCCTGGTATGGCAGCAACCTTGGATCACCTGATTTTTGACTGAAACAACTGCTCTTACTGAGGCTAAAGGAAAATCCAAAATCAACAACTCCCACCTCTTTGGAAACCACATAGTGTCCCCTGACATTTCCAGGGCTGCACATTTTATCTGCCACAGGAGAATGTAAAGGTGACACAGTAACAATGAGTATACATGGGGCACAGTATCAATGTACTTAGAGGTTGAGGGGAAGAAGAATCTCCTGGCACTAGTCCCAGATGTATGAGATCTAACATAAAAACATCTCTGATTTGTTTAAGAACTCTTTTATTGCCTTAAAGAGACATCCTGCCTAAGCAGGAGAGCAGAATGGGCTCTCTGCACTGCATCAGCCCCTAAGATACCAAAGCCATGAGCTGGTGAATGAGTTTCACTGCATGAGATGAAATGGTTCCAGCAGAGCCACAGCATGAGCTGCAGTTCATCCACCCTGTGACAACACTACAGCTCAGCCATTGTATTTTCTCTGTGAAAGTGTAATTAAAAAAAAAAATTAGACTGTATTGAATACAATCTATTTCTTTTGTGTGCAGTTAAAGGATTCTGGGAGGAAAACAAGGGTGAGGAAAATAGTCAGTGAAAAGGTACAAATTGAAAGCCATCAGTGAAACCTTCAGTGCTGCTGATTCTCCCCATCTGCCCAGCAGGTACTGGGGCAGAGGGGACTGGCAGGGATGCAGGCAGGTCAGGAGGAGATGGGGTGGGGGCTGCTTCCCACCTCAGCCACGGACCCTGACCCCTCCAGCCATGGGTCTCTGCCTGTCTGGGACAGGAGGAGCCCAGACCCACCCTCAGGGGCTCAGAAACCCACACCCCAACAGTGGCTCTTCCATGTCACCACATGAGCCAGCACACACACTACAGGAGACTCCTACTGTGCTGCAGGACTGACTGGCACAGCCAGGCAGCACCATGCCTCAAGATGAGACACTTGTATATATTGGAACCTAAGAACAAAGAGCTGAAATCCTAAATAAGAGCTGCAAGTGAAAAGCAGGGGGAAAAAAAAATGCTATTTGGAAAATATGAGTGCATGCCTCATGGTTGGCCATAGTCAGCTCCAGTCTCCTGCTCAGCCATTCCCTCACTCTGGTCCAGGCATTGTGTCCTCATCTCCTTGTGCTACAAACTATGCTGGGAGAACCTTTGCAGCAGTGGGACTCCTGTGGGCAAAGGGCTCCTCACAGAAACAAAAAAGGTGGAATCTGAGGCTTTCCACGTGGCTTGGAAATCAGCAGGTTTCCCAAAAGAGATTCTACGCACACAACTGTCCACTGATTGTTTTATCCGGGGACTTGTATTTGCTTGATGCTTGGGTGGGAGAGGAAGTGCTCCCGGCTGCTGTCACCCCTCTTTGGCACACAGCAGGAGACCCCAGGGCACAATGCCCACTTTCCCGTGATTCTTGCCAAGTTAGGGCTGTCCTACCTTGGAAACCCACACTTTGCCTTACCAGGTATCTCAAGTAACACCTCCAAAGCACCTATCAACTTGCATAAAACTTTGGATTTACATTTGTTTTTTGCCCCACATCTAATTCTTAGTAACTTTCACTATCTTCCTGCAATAATCAGAGAACCCTGTACCCGTAAAAGCTCTCCGAGACCATGGAGTCCATCTGTTCCCCCAGCACTGCTCAGGCCACCACTAATCCACGTCCCCAAATTCCACATCCACGCGTCCATTAAATCTCCCCAAACGGATGACTTCACCACTGCCTGTGGCGGGGCAAGAAATATTTTTGGGGAAAAACTTGTTCCTAATATACAACCTAAGCCTACCGACCCCCGCATCTGGCAGCTGCTCGCTTCTGCAGACAGCCGAGGCCAGGCTGGCGGCGGGACGGGTGCGGGGGCAGCGCCCACGCGGGTGCCGGCCGTGGGCGCGCCCCGGCGAGCGCCGGCCCGGCTCGCCCACCGCCCCCGCAGCCCGGGCAGCCCCCGCGGCCCCGCCGGCGCCCCCCGCCGCCCTCTCGGGGAAGGCGGCAGCGCGCCGGGATATGCCCGGGCACGTCCCGGCTCCGCCGCGGCACGGCCGCCCCGCATCACCCCCCGGCATCCCTCGGCATTCCCCGGCTCCGCTCTCCCCATCTCCCGCCCCCGCACCCACCGGCGCGGTGCCGCCCGGCCCGGTACCGCCGGCGTTCAGAGGTGATCACGGAGCCGGCTGCAGCCCACGTGTATCGCTGTGGCTGCGTCGCCGGGAGCGGGACCCGCCGCAGGTCCCGCCGGTCCCGCCGACCCCGCAACCGCCTCCGCCCGGCGGTGACACCGGCACCGGGGCGGGCCGGGACCGCCGAGAACGGGCGGGCAGGTGCGCGACCCCCGCGGATTACCTGTCTCGGTGCTAGCGGCACGGCACGGCACGGACCGGGACCGGCAGGGCGGCGGGACCGGGAGACACGGCGCGGACCGGCACCGCACCGCCAATGACTCGGCGGCCCCGCGTGGAGCGGAGCGGGTCGGAACCCGTCCCGTCCCGGGCACCGGGAGTGCCCCGCGCCCCGCCCCGCAGCCCCATTGGCGGCGGCGCCGCCGGGGCGGGGCGAGACCGGCAGCGGCGCCGGCGGGGGCGGCGGGACCGGCCCCGGGCCCGGGAGCGGAGCTCCGCGCCGAGGGGAGCCTGGGCACAGCAATGCCGGGGCGTCCCGCTGCCGCCGGCGGGGCGGGACACCAGGGAACCCCCGGGTTTGCGGGACCTTGTTCCCCAAGATCCGGGGTTGTCCGGCACCCCCGGGGCCGGCTGGGGGCTGACGGAGCCCCGGGCCCGGCCGTGGGGGAACACGCACCAGGAAGGAATAAAGTCCCGGGGTCCGAGTGCTACGCACAGTGTGTGTACGCTGTGCACTGTGGGTGTGCAGAGTGTGTATCCACGCACAGTGTGTGTATGCTGTGCACTGTGGGTGTGCATCCACGCACAGTGTGTGTACGCTGTGCACTGTGGGTGTGCAGAGTGTGTATCCACGCACAGTGTGTGTACGCTGTGCGCTGTGGGGGTGCAGAGTGTGTATCCATGCACAACGTGTGTATGTTGTGCACTGTGGGTGTGCAGAGTGTGTATCCATGCACAGTGTGTGTACGCTGTGCGCTGTGGGTGTGCAGAGTGTGTATCCATGCACAGTGTGTGTACGGTGTGCGCTGTGGGTGTGCAGAGTGTGTATCCACGCACAGTGTGTGTACGCTGTGCACTGTGGGTGTGCAGAGTGTGTATCCACACACAACGTGTGTACGGTGTGCACTGTGGGTGTGCAGAGTGTGTGTGGTTTGTGTGGGCAGCACACACCGGCCCAAGAACAGAGGCTTCTCCCAGGATCAGCATTAATGTCTCCCAGCACTTGCCCGCAGACTCACCCGCAGTCTCTGGGCAGTTCTGGGGAGCCGCAGAGTTATCCCAAGATTGCCATGCAATGACTTACTGGACCACAGTGTGAATCAAACTGGTGTGTGGAACTGAACCTCCTGTGCAGGGCAGTCAAATTTCCCAGTGACAGCCCTTAGCTCTCCCCCTTCAGTGTGCTGTCCCCCCTCAGTCCTGACCCAGGCCCACAACAGGACCCTGCTGCCTTCCCCCTACTTTCCCACTGCCTTCCCATCCTCCACGAGGGGCAGGGTGGGCAGTCAGTGCTGCTCATTTCTGCGCCCTGGGCCGTACTGGTTGCTGTACCTGGATGAGTACCAGAACTGTGTTTGGGTTTAAACCTGTTATTTTGGGGAATGCTCCCCATTTCTCCCTCTTTCCTTTCAAACTTCAAGTGCTCTTGTTCCAGCCAATGCCATTTGAGAACTCTCCTCAGCTGTCTGCTGCCGCTGTGGAGCAGCTTCAACAGAAACCAGACTGTCAAGTTGGAATAACTGAAAGGATTTAATGAAATTCTGTTGAGGAGTCAAGTTCACAAAATTATCATGGTTGGAAAAGACCTTTAAGAACATCGAGTCCAAATGTTCACCACTAAACTGTGTCCCCAGGTGCCACCCCACACTCCTTTTGAACACCTCCAGTGAAGGTGATTCCATCAGTGCCTTGGGCAACCTCTGCCTGGCCACTTTTCAGGGAAGTTTTCCCTCATATCCGACCTGAACCTCCCCTGGTGCAACCTGGGGCTGTTTCCTCTCATCCTGTTGCTGATCCCTGGGAGCAGAGCCTCCCCCGGCTGTCCCCTCCTGTCAGGAGTTCTGCAGAGCCACGAAGCCCCCCTGAGCCTCCTTTTCTGCAGGCGGAGCCCCCCCAGCCGCTCCCCATGGCACCTGCGCTCTGTCTCCCTGTTCCCTCGCTACCTGGGGGGATTTCTCAGCCCGGCGCTTCAGCCGGCCGCTGAGGCAAGCTGGCAGCGAGGGGAGCTCGGGGGAGCCGCTCTGGGCGGTGAGGATGATGATTTCACCGCTCACACGGGCGGGCGGCTCAGCGGGGCCGCGTCTGATGCAATCGGCCCATTGCATCACCCACGGCCGCGGGACGGGGGGGCTCCCGCGGTGGGACCCGGGCACAGAAACACCCGCGGCTGCTGCGGGAGCCTGGCACCAGAGCGGATCCACGGAGCACGGTCCCCTCCGAGGCAGCAGAGGCCACCGGCAGGATTTCTGCTGGGAGCGATCGCACCAGAGCGAAGGATGCGCCGGCGGAGCGCCCAGCTGCCGGGTGGGCACGGGCAGGGCTGCCCCAGCCCGGGCTCCTGGCGGCTGCTTGCGGGGCTGCGAGGTGGTCTGCGGTTAGTTAGTAGTGGTTTGTGCTTGGTTAGTGGTGGTTTGTGATAGTTTGTAGTGGTTTGTGGTTAGTTAGTGGTGCTTACTGGTAGTTTGTGGTGGGTAGTGGTGGTTTGTGGTTGGTTAGTGGTGGTTTGTGGTTGATTAGTGGTGGTTTGTCGTTAGTGGTGCTTGCTGGTAGTTAGTGGTGGTTTGTGGTTGGTTAGTGGTGGTTAGTGATAGTTTGTAGTGGTTTGTTGTTAGTTAGTGGTGGTTAGTGGTGGTTTGTGGTTGGTTAGTGATAGTTTGTGGTGGTAAGTGGTAGTCATCACTGAGGTCCTGGGAAGCCACACTGCTCCTACCAGCCTGAGCCCACCAGCTCTGAGTCTGAGACCAAACCAGGCAGTCCTGCCTAATCCCAGTTCCTGTCTGTTCCAGCCAGTACATCCTGGGCTGGATGTCCTGAGGTGGATTATTTCCCAGCTCAAACAGCACCTCGCAGCCACAGCCAGGAGAACATCTGGGAGAGCTGCTAATCCCAGAGGGGGGGATGGCTGTATCAGGTAGAGTGCTGTACAGCCAGCAGGTTTGGGTATGGTGTGCAGGCTGAGGTCCTAGAGATGTTTGCTCAGTTTACAGAACTGTGTTCTCGGCTGTCTGGTGTTGTGCTGTGAGCATCTGATACGCTCAGGGTCACGTTGTCTCTGTTCAGTTGTAACTGTGCTGCATAATTAACGGAATTTGCATATTAAGAGTTAGCAAAACCAGGAACTCTGAAGCAGGGATCAGTTTTACAGGTTTTTTACATACTGGAGCTTCACAACACTAGAGGGCACCGAGACCAGGCAGCAATCAGCTGGGTTGGAGAAGCAGTGTGTGAGCAACCCCCGCACACGCACGCGTGGACACACGGACGTAGAAATACCCTCCACTGGCACAGGAGGATCATGCCCTTAACACACGACGTGGTGCAGAAGTCAGCCTCCTAGGAGTGTTTTTCCAGGGCATCCTGCGCGGCTGAATCACGGGTGTTTCCATGGGCGCACTCGGGCAGGCAGGCACGGGCAGGACACGGGGCATCCCCGCAGGAGCTGCGGGAAGGGACGGGCCAGCGCTGTTCCAGCATTTTCCCAGAGGGGAATTGTTGTGGGTTTGTGCTGCCAGAGGAATTAAGAGCTCGGGATCTCTGTTGAGCAACTCGGGTTGATGCCACTCGGGTTTCCGCAGAGGCTGCTCCGGTCTGGTGTCAGCAGAGGGCAGTGGGTGATCGCCGGGAGCCTGCCCTAGCCCAGAACATCGGGAGCTTCCCAAGCTTCGTGTGAGAAGGTCACAGATGCAGTTGTGCCTTGTCCTTTTCTGTTGTTAGACCCAGTTTCATTCGTCCTCTCCTCTCCTCAAAGGAAGATTTTCTGGTTTCACTTACTGCCACTGACTCCATCTGACTCTTAGGAGACATGTAGCTCCTGTGATGTGGCCAGCGCACAGTCCATCCACAGCTGAAAATAATCCAGCCCTTAATGTGTGTGTACATCCTCTGCCAGACATGTGGGATCAGGAACTGGGCTGAAATCCAGCAGTGGCAGGAGCAAACTCCTGCCTGAAGTATGTTCTCAGGATTTAATGCAAACCAACCCTTCTTACCCATCTGGCAACAACTGTGGCTGTGGCACAGTTATGGTGTTATTGCACAACTAAATAGCATTTCAGCCTTTGCCCAATGAATTTTGCAGAGAACTGTTTCAGGAGGGCAGTCACAGCATGAAAGCAGCTGCAATCAGTGCAGTTTTTCAATGTACCATGATCTTTATGCAACCTTTTTCTCTAACTTGTCCCCACAGCTTCGTTCTGTGCAATTGATCATATTTCTGAATTGATTTTTCAAACTTATTTTCAAATCCTTGCAGGAGCTCCTTCTATATGAGACATAAGGTGTTCAGGGGCCACAGGCACCACTTATCCCTGTTTCCCACTCAAAGTTGAGCTCTGACCTTGCATCCTCATGTTGACCTATGGAAAGTAAGAATAGCAGATTTTTTTTCCCCCCACTGAAAAATTTCTGATCAGAAAAGGCTGCTCATGGCACACACAACATCTTGGCCTGAAGGACACTTTCCAACCTGGTGTGAGAGGAAGCCTGTAGTTACCTCCCCCCTATCTCCGTACTTACAGCCTTCATTTACAGCTGGGTTATTGTTTGGTGGCCTTTTTGTCTTTTCTTGGCAGTGACAATGACTTTTTCTGCTGTATTATAAATGAGCAGCCCTGTCCATGAGGCTGTTCCAGGTCATTTTCACAGCACGGTGATCACGGGCACAGGGCAGGCTGCTGTGCTGTGGGGCAGGCAGCTCCAGCACTGCCAGGCTGGGATGTGGGGCTGCAAAGACAGAAGCTGCTTAAAGAGGGGCCAGGCCATAATTTCTCTTGGTGCACACCATGGAGGAAGCCATCATTGTGTAAGTCTGCACTGGAGGACCCAGTGTATTCACAGCCTCAAATATTTCTTGGCCCAAGCTCTTGGAGTGTCCAGGAAAGCTGCTCAGAAATCCAGGCAATGTCACTCTTTGGTATGTTTCCTCCCAAGCTGTTTTTCTTTTGGAAGACAAAAGCAAATCAGATGATTTTATTTCCTCCTGCCTCCAGCATTTTCCCTGTCTGACTTTGATCTTTTTGAACACTTTGGACAGAAGCGTTCTTGCTTCACTCACCTCAGCTTTTCCAAATCCCCTGTTTTCTCCAGAGGATGAGATATGTCCATGAGCACAAGTCCAAGATTTCCCAGAACAGGGAGACTTGTGAG